TAAGACAGTCTAAGAAAGATTCCATGGATGAAAATCCAAAAAGGGAAAACAACTCAAGAAGTGTGAGAAACTCTGAAAAATATGATCATAAGAGCCCAGTCCAGCACAATACCACTGAAAAATCAAGAAATCCAAGAGGAAACAAACATGGATGCACAAAGAACTCTCTGATAAACTGAAAGACAAAGAGGACAAGTACAAACAATGGAAAGAGGGACACACAACTAAGACTGATTATCAGCAGGATGTCAGGGCTCCAGCATCCACCCCCATTTAAATCATGAGTCTCTAGCCGCATCTCTCAGAGTAAAAAGATTTATTAGGAGTGAACATGCCGGTGCTACCTGTGTGTAGCCGACTCTGAGACACATCATTCATTTCACCCTTGACCCTGGTCTTCCCCCCATCCCCTGGATGTTTATTCTCCAATGGGACACATCCATAGCCAAGAGTCATCAATCATGCTCTCCAGCAATAATCTTGTGCGCCAGAAGCTTTGGTCACCTAGCAATTATCTATGAAGCATTTAAGGAATGCACTACTTCCCCCACTCCCTTTCTGCTGCCAACTCTAAAAGACCAGATAAATATTTTTGAGTTGACATTTGGCTCCCCTCACTTCTTGTAGGTGACCTGTACAACACAACAAAAAACAAATTTATTGCAGGTGTAGAACTTAGGCTTGGTTGGGTTTTCTGCATGGAACCTCGTCACAAGGTGCTTGGCTTGGACGTTCCTACTCTTTACCCAAGATCCCTCTGATAAGGGGTAGCCCTTCCACTTGATTAAATATTGGAGCTGTCTCCTGTGCCACCTCAAATCGAGGATTCGCTGCACCTCATAATGGGTTTGGCCCCCTATGACCATGGTGTCTGGGGGCTCACGAGGTAGTGGCCTCAGGGTCAATCCCATGATGGGTTTTAAGAGGCTACTATGGAATTCTGTGTGTATTTTTCCTAACAGTCGGGGCAACTTCAGTTGCACCGTGACTGGGTTGATGACCTTTACTATGGGGAAAGGTCCCATACCCTTTGGCCCCAACTTCTTACTAGGGAGCCTTAACCTCAAGTATTTGGTGGAGAGGTAGACCTTCTCCCCCACTTAGAATGGCCTTTGCGGGGCCCGGTGTTTGTCTGCCTGTCTCTTATAGCTCTGTGCTGCTTTTGCCGGCCCCTTTTTTACATTCTCCCAAGTTGCTTTCAGCGTTGACATCCAATTGGTCAGGCTGACTGAGGAGGGGGGATCCCTTGCATACTCAGGCATTGGGACGAAGTCCATACCGCTCGCTATTTTGTGTTTTGTTTTTTAATAATGCTTTATTGATTTTTTTTCCATTTATACATAATATTAATATTGTTAAACAGCACTGTCACATTATATATACATTTATGTGTCCTATCAAAACTTACAATGCAAAACTTACTTTCATACCCTCTTATTTATTATATACATAATTTACATTTTCTATTTTTGTATCTATTATCTATCCAAATAAACCATGTTCCCCATACTGCGTTATATTCTGTCTGTTTTCCCTTTTAATTCCATAGTTAATTTATCCATTTCCACACACTCTAATTTTTTTTTTTTATTAAGCCTTCAGGTGGTATAGAGTTTTCTTTCCAGTACTGAGCATATGAAATTCTTGCTGCTGTTAATATATGTAATATAAGATATTTTATCTTTCTATTATAGTTTTTTTTTATTATTCCTAAGAGGAATAATTCTGGGACAAAATCAATTTTGTTTTTAGTTAACTCTTCTAACCACGTTTGAATCATTTTCCAGTATTTTTTCACTTTGGGGCATGTCCACCAAGAATGAAAGAAGGTACTTTGTTGTTGTCCACACTTCCAACAATTTGGTTTTAAGTTTGGGTAAATCTTAGCCAGTCTTGAAGGTGCCAAATGCCAACGATGGAACATTTTATGTTGGTTTTCCTTATATGCTACCGATTTTGTTATTTTATAATTCACGTTCCAAATCTTTTCCCATTCTTCCAGATCAATAGTATGTCCAATGTTCCTACCCCATGCAACCATCGTTCCTTTCACAATTTCTTCCGCTCTTTCAAATTCTAATAAATGTTTATATAACTTTGATAATAATTTCTCATCTGGGCCAGTCAAGATTTTATCTAGTTTTTGTATTTCACTATCTATTCCAAATTCCTCACTGTCTTTATATCTTGTTTGAATTTGCATATAGGTCCACCAATCCAGTTTTATTCCCTGCTCTTCCAATTTCTGTCTGCTCTTTAAGTTCCCTTGGTTATCTAGCATTTCCCTATACCTAGCTGTTTTCTTAACCTCCATTATATTGGGGTGGATTACTGCTTCCACGGGAGATACCCAGTTTGGAATTTTCAAATAATATTTATTCTTTATTTGTTTCCATGATTGTATCAGCACATTTCTTATTTTATGTCTATAAAAGTATAGATACGGTTTGTTTTCTTTGTCCCACAGGAAGGCATGCCATCCTCTTTGTATGTCATGCCCTTCTATGGTTAATATTCTTTTTTTCCTTAGATTGATCCAATCTTGTATCCATACAAGTATTGCTGCCTTATGGTATAGTTCCCAATCTGGAAGCCCAAGGCCACCTCTGCTCTTACTATCCTGTAAATCGTTTAACTTGGTTTGGTTTTTTTTTGCCTGCCCAAACAAATTTTGTGATTATTCTATTAAGTTCTCTAAAAAAAATTCTTATCTAATTTTGTTGGAGATGTTTGAAATAAATATAAAATCTTTGGCAAGACATTCATTTTTATAGTTGCTATTCTTCCTAATAATGATAATTGCAGAGTCCCCCATTTTTCCAAATCTTTTTTCATTTGATTGAATAATTTGGTGTAATTGTCTTCTTTTATTGTGGAGCACTTTGCTGTTAACCATATTCCTAAATATTTGATTTTTTTGTGATTTGTAGTCCCATTACATTTTCTAGCTCCTTTTTATTTCTAATTGTTATATTTTTCACTAGCATTTTGGTTTTGTCTTTGTTGATTTTAAATCCTGAAATCTCTCCATATTTTTCTAATTCCTCTATCAAAATTGGGCCTGATTCTAGTGGCTCCTCAATAAAAAAAACCAAACCATCCGCAAATGCTTGTAGTTTATACTCTTCTTTTTTAATTTTTGTTCCCTGTATTTCTGAATTATTCCTAATTTTTATTAATAGTGTCTCTAGTGTCAAAATAAAGAGCAGAGGTGACAATGGGCATCCCTGTCGGACTCCTTTTGTTATTCTAAATGCCTTCATTATATCTCCATTTATTATTATATCGGCCTTTTGGGAAAAATAAACTGCTTCTATTAATTTTCTATTAATATTAATTTTCTGTCTCCAAACTTCATTTCCTTAATTTGACATACCATAAATTCCCAATTTAAATTATCGAATGCTTTTTGTGCGTCCAGAAAGAAAAGGGCCACTTGTCTTCCTGGTTGCATTTCATAATATTCTAATATGTTCATTACTATTCTAATGTTGTCTCTTATTTGTCTTTGTGGTAGAAATCCATTCCGATCACTATGTATAATTTCGTTTAAAATCCTTTTTGTCCTTCCTGCAATAATACTCATAAAAATTTTGTAGTTGGCATTCAAGAGCGATATTGGACTATAGTTTTTTATTTGATTAACATCGGTACCTTCTTTCGGTATCAAGGTAATATATGATTCCCTCCACGATTTGCATTTAACAAAACCTCATTACATACTTCCAGTAATACTAGTTCCAATGATTCTCCTAATTTTTGATATAATTCTCTTGGTAAACCGTCTGGCCCTGGGGTCTTATTTGCCTTCTGTTTTTGGATTGCTTCCTTTAATTCTGTTAATGTAATTTCTCGATTTAATATATTCCATTTTTCTTCCTCAATTGGTGACATTCTATCTGTTTTTAAATACTGATCTATTTTGTCTGTTTCTATTATTTTTTGTCTATAGAAATCTTCAAATAATTTTAGGGCAATCTTTTTTTCTCTTCTTCATTATTTTGTAGTATTCCTAATTCATCATGAAGCTGGTGTATTATTCTTTTTTCTTTTTCTTTTTTCAATTTATAGGCCAGCCATCTCCCTGACTTATTTGCATTTTCAAAATAATTTTGTTTCATAAATTTAAGATCCCTTACAATATCTTCCTGTTCTAATAGGTTTAATTTGTGTTTGGCCAAATTCATTTGTTCCTTAATTTGATTACTCCCTGAGGTTTTTTTGCATTAATTTTTCTAAATATCCAATCTCTAATTGTAATGTATTTTATTGCCCCCATTTCTCCTTGTTTCTTTTTGCAATGTAAGATATAGTTACCCCTGTGGTATATGCTTTCATTGTGTCCCATAGGGTTTGCAAAGATGTTGTTTTTTATTTACATCAAAAATATTGTCAATTCATTTGAATTTTTTTAAAATAAATTCTTCTAATAATATCTGGAGGTTCAATGTCCATCTTTTTCTTTTCTTTTTGTGGCCTCTCCAACTTACTTTAATGGGGTTGTGGTCAGCCCAGGTGTTTGGGAGAATTTAAATTTTGTCTATTTCTCTACCTAAGTCAATATTTGTCCATACCATATCAATTCTTGAATAAGATTTATGTGGATTTGAGTAGTATGTAAATTTTTGTTCCATGGGGTTTAATGTTCTCCATACATCTATTAGGTTCAACTCCTCCGTCATATCAAAAAATGTTTGTGGCAGTATATTCCTTTTTTCAATCTTTTATTATCACAGACATAGTCTTTTATAGACTCTACTATTCCATTATAGTCTCCGACTATGCATATATCTTTCTGACATGTCTCAACAATTCTTTCATGAAGTTTTTTATAGAATTCTTTTTGGTTTTTGTTAGGTGCATATATATTTACTAGTACTATCTGTCTTTGTCCTATTTTTATCTCTGGTATTAATATTCTACCCTTAATGTCTGCGAAAATTTGCTTTGCTTCTATCTCTTCTCTGATATATATCCCCCCCCTCCCCCCCCCCCCCCACCAATGCAGTATGGAGTTTCCCCAATTTATTAAATTCTAAAGCCTTTTTGTCTTGATTCTTGATATGTACCTCTTGGAGGCACACAATATCTATATTTTGCTTAACCAGTTTTGACAGTATTTGTTTTCTCTTAACGACAGCATTCTGTTGCTATCTAAGGTTCTCTGGTGTATTTATGCTGTGTGTTATGATATGTACAGAATAACCCTTGAGTAACAAGGATATGCACATGGAAACGTTTATGGGAGTAGTTATGAATAATTATTCAACCAGACACTAAATTACACACTAAATTGAGTTAAAGTTTACTTTAAGAAATAGCACAGTCCAATAAATGGTCCAGGTTATATTCGTTTTACAGTCCAAAGAATATCCAATTACAAAGTCTTCTTACCGGTTGCCTTTGTCATTTACACTACAGTAAACAAAAATATCAAAGTATAAGCACAGCATAACTACAACAGAGAACCTTAGATAGCAACAGAATGTCAGAGAGACAGAATGTCAGAGAGAGCAAGCTATGATCTCTAGCTCCCTCTTATGGTAATTTGCAATATAATTAACCAATCGGAATATAGTATAAATCAATACAGTGATTTTGTCTTAAAGCTACAAACATTGTTGGTTTATATATTGCCAACCCAACTAATTGGTGGACAGATTCCTAACATTCTCCCCTTTCGATATATAATACATTACATCTTTAAACCATAATTCTCACAACACTCTTTATGCTTAATTGCACTTTGAGCTTTCGTGAAATGATCTGCAATATTATGTTCAGTCATGCAGTATTCTAACTGAATTAATTTATTTTGAACACACTGTCTAACGTTCAAATATCTCAAATCAGTATGTTCAGACCTTGTTTTAACAGCTACATTAGTAGCCATACTAATTGCAGATTGATTGTCTTCATAAACAATAAACGGATCACGTACAGTAATTCCAATATCCTTCAACAATTGTTTATAATATATCCATTCTGTACACATTAATGATAAACATGAGAATTCCGCTTCCATAGTGGATAAACTAATATGTTGTTGCCTAATAGACTTCCATCCTATTAAAGCATTACCCAACATTACCATTATACCTGATGTTGACTTACGAGTCATTATATCAGTAGCAAAACTTGCATCAGCATATCCAGTTAACACTAATTCATTACTTGGTTCTAAATATAATGAATAATGGATTGTGCGTTTTAAAAACCTAATTTTTCGCTTAGCTGCTCGCCAATGCCTTTCATTTAGTTCAGCGTTATACCTAGCCAATTGGTTTACACTGTAAGATATATCTGGTCTAGACCAATTACCCAGATATGATAGACTACCGATTAAGGATTGATATATTTCCTTATCAAACATAGGACTTTTGATATCACTATCAAGGATCAGCTATACCAGCTTCAAAATCTATTGAAACTAATTCCTTTACAATACATTTATTCCATTCATAACTGGATTGCTTTAGACCATAAAGACTTTTCTTTAATTTCCAATAATCAGTTTTTCCATCATCCTTTAAACCTAATGGCTTTTTCATATAGATAGTATGTTGTAAAGGTGCATGTAGATATGTAGCTTCAACATCTACATGGTTTATTTTACATTTATTCTTAGCTGCCCAAACTAATGCTTCTCTCAATGTATTTGCTCTCAGACTAGGTGCAAACACTTCATCATAGTCTTTATCTGACTGAACAAATCCTTGAGCAACTAATCTTGCTTTATGGGTAATAGTCCCATCCACACCAGTCTTTATCTTATACACCCATTTGCAACCTATTGTACGCTCACCTGGTGGTAACTTTACATCCTCATCCACCTCTAAATCCTTTAACGATTTTAACTCCCAATTCATAGCTTCCTGCCAAGCTACCTGATCCTTTGTAGGATACAGTTTTATTTCATTGAAGTTAGAAGGTTCTGTATTAACCTGATATACAATGGTTGTTTGAAATCTGTCAGGTGGACGTCTCTCCCTAGTTGACCTCCTAGGCAACTCAGTACATGTTGTTGGCATGTCCTCTTCCTTTACCTCCCCTATCAAATCCTCGTCTTCTACAGTCATAGAGGGTACTTCTATTGATGATTCCTCCATTGAGGATTCCTCCACTATTTTATCATCAATATTATTATCATCAGGATTATCGGTAAACATTGGAGTCTCAACAGCAACACTATCCTGTACCTTATTATATTCCTGTTCAAGCTTTCTCCAGCCAACATGCTCCGGAAATTTAGCACTTGCACTGCAATGTACATTAATAGTATCTGGCTCCCAAAATCTAAATGATCTATGATTAGCTTCAAAACCTACAAAATATAATTGTCTCGCTCTATGTTGTCCCTTTCGCCTTACTTGCGTGGGAATATGAACCCATGCTGGGGTTCCAAATGTATGTAAATAACTGAGACCTGGCTTTTTTCCATTCCAACGAGTAAATGGTAATTCACCAGTTGTTGAATTCACTATGTTATTCAAAACATGGTTAGCACACATTATTGCTTCACCCCAAAGTTTCTCTGATAAACCAGAATCCGAAATCATAGTCCTAGCCATAGCCTGTAATGTTTGTCCTCTACGTTCAATATATGAGTTATGTTGTGGTCTATAAGGAGCAGAACGCTTATGTTCAATGCCAGCTTTTTGTAACATGGCTTCAAATTTTCTATTGGTAAATTCAGTACCATTATCTGTTACTAAGCTAATAACTTTCTGTTTCTTTTTCCTTTCAGCAAATTTTAGCCAGTTTACAAAATGCTGGTATGTTTCTATCTTCGTTTTCATTAAATAACAGAAACCATATCTGGAAAAATGATCAATTATACTTAATATGTAACAGGCTCCACCTAAACTAGGTTTCTTAGGTCCAATAATATCAGCAAAAACAACCTCTAATGGTTCACTGGTTTTGAATCCATTTACCCTATTTGCAGGAGTTACCTTGCTTTTTTGTTGATTGCAAGCATTGCAATTTAAATACTTTGTACAAGGTTTTAATTTTGTACCATTAGATAACTCAAGTTTTCTTTAGCATTTTGAAATTTATATGTCCCATATGTCTGTGGAGCAGATGAATACATTCTTCATGAGGCTTTTTATTCTCATAAACTGAGTTAGCATTAATTAATGGATTATCATGTATAATAAACAAACCATTATCCAATCTTGCAGTAATGCTTTTACCCTGTTTTTCAATTAAACATTTATCTCCCTGAAAAGTTACAACAAATCCTGCTTTTCCCATTGCTCTTACAGATAGCAAGTTAAATTTCATTCTAGGTATATATTACATCGCTAAATGTTCATTAATACATGAACAATATGCAGTACCTTCTCCAGATGCTCTCAATTTCCATCCATTAGCTAATGATACATGCTGTTTACTCTTTGTCATGTTAACAAACCTCTCTTTACTTTTAGTTATACACTGCGATGCTCCACTGTCAACTTCCCATATATCATGGTTTACAGTTTTAGTTGTACTTGATATGGCTAAACTAACATCTTTATAAGCTCTTTGTATATTAATAGCATTCTGTTTCTTACCTTTTTTACAGTATCTGGCTATATGACCTTTAGCCCCACAAGACAAACATTTCCTAACAATATAGGCAATTGAAGACAGTTTTTCTTCCTGTGGTTGTCTTTCTCTCAGTTGATTTCTATCTTTCCTTCTTCTTGACTCTTCTAACAGTCTTCCAGTTATGCCAGTCAGTGTAAGTTCATGTCTGTTTAAAACTTCCAGTGAAGACACATAATCATCATAAGTTTCATCCAAAGAAGAAAGAATGATGTAAACTTGATGCAACTCCGAGAAAATCAGATCCTTTTCTTGTAGCTCTTGTAAAGTCCTTTTCATAAACTCCAAATGAGCTAACATATCGCCACCTTTTATAAGACGGGCTCTAAACAGTTTACGTGTAAGGTGTATGTGTGCACCCACACTATCTCGAACATAAATCCTCTTCAAAATGTCCCAACACCTAGCAGCAGATTCTTCACCACGAATATGGACTAACTGCTGATCTCTCAGTGTCAGTCCAATTATACTAAGAGCCTTTTCATTATCCCAGTTAAAGTCAGCTATTTTCTTTTTATCTTCATCATTCAATGGGTCCCAAGCTGTTACATCCGGTGGACTATTAACTACAGTCCATAATCCGTGTTTACGCAGAAGTAGGCTGCGCTTCATAGACCAGGAAACATAGTTTGTTCCAACCAACCGGGTTATCTGGGATATACTGGTTGACTGTACTTGTGTCATTGGTAGTTTAACAATAAACCGCAATCAGCTGGCTGAATATGAAACTGTATATTCACACTGATTCTCAATATCTCTCTAGGCCCATAACCAATGTTATGAAATGTACAGAATAACCCTTGAGTAACAAGGATATGCACATGGAAACGTTTATGAGAGTAGTTATGAATAATTATTCAGCCACACAGAGATACACTAAATTGAGTTAAAGTTTACTTTAAGAAATAGCACAGTCCAATAAACGGTCCAGGTCATATATGTTTTACAGTCCAAAGAATATCCAATTACAAAGTCTTCTTACTGGTTGCCTTTGTCATTTACAGTAAACAAAAATATCAAAGTATAAGCACAGCATAACTACAACAGAGAACCTTAGATAGCAACAGAATGTCAGAGAGACAGAATGTCAGAGAGAGCAAGCTATGATCTCTAGCTCCCTCTTATGGTAATTTGCAATATAATCAACCAATCGGAATATAGTATAAATCAATACAGTGATTTTGTCTTAAAGCTACAAACATACATTGTTGGTTTATATATTGCCAACCCAACTAATTGGTGGACAGATTCCTAACAGGTATGCTGGTCATCTCTTTCAGGATTTTTTTTTTTTGCTCTCCTAAAATGTTATAAATACTTTCCCAAATTATCATACAATTACTTTATAGTTAGCAATATTAAATCTTATCTTTCTGTCTTGATTCTTTTGAATCCAATGTTTTAATTTATAGAAGATCCCTACAATTCTGTTTCTGTTCTTTTTTTATATTATCAGTGTTAATATCACTCACTATCTTATTCTCTCTAAAGACTAATTTATATTTCTGAAAGATAAAACTATCTAATCAATAATATGTTTCTG